ACGCCGCCTCAACAAGGTAACGGAACCCACTTTTTTCATCGCTTCAGAGATAAGGTTTCCGATATTTCTGTCACCATTCGCCGAGATGGTTGCAACCTGAGCAATCTCCTCCGGTGTAGTCACCTGAAAAAACCATGGCTCGCCACTGAGAGCCATAATTTCAACAAAAAACAAAGGCTCTCCCCACTTTCTTCACGATTTGGGGCGCGGCCGCGGCGAGCGAGGACGAGTTGGTAGTGCCCGCGAACAGTGCGGGTAGGTTTGAAAACACTCCATCAGACCTCGGTTCAGACTCGGCGATTGCGTCCTGGACACCAAGCGGGATCGGAGCCTGCCAGGCACGTAAAGATGTTTATGCGACGCAATTCCACGCGTCGACTTGGAAAATATTCATTGAACTTGTTCTAGGTCGGAAGAAAGGGAGTAATCACTGTCAAGGATGGAAAGACGCTCAACGATGAACTGGAGCTGATTGAGGGCATGAAGTTCGATCGTGGTTATATTTCTCCCTATTTTATTAACACATCAAAGGGTGCAAAGGTATGTGATTTTGAAGAAATGCTGCACTGTAAGGTGCTGTTTAAGAAATCTATTTGTTAGGTCGAGTACGAGAAGGCCCTAGTTCTGTTGAGCGAAAAGAAAATCAGCAATGTCCAAGATATTGTTCCTGCACTCGAACTAGCTAACAAAATAAGAAAGCCTCTTGTGATCATTGCAGAAGACGTTGATGGAGAAGCGCTAACTACCTTAGTATTGAACCGTCTGAAGGTGAGTTCTGGTTTTTACGAAGGTTTAATGGGAGCTTTTAAGTAGGAGGAAGCATTTTTGTGCAGACAGCTGAAGGCATTCAAAACCGTGGCAAATAACTTTTATTCATGTAGAGACTCAAAAAGGTAGGTTCACGGGTGCCAGAATTTTCTACTCTGGTGCTGTCATCACTGGCAAGATCTTAGACGATTTGGGAACAGTGCCTGACTCGGCTTTGAATTCTAAGGAGGAAGGTGGGACCCCAAAGACAGCCTTGGGGGGGACCCTGGGGTGGGCGAGCTTATTACTGTGTGGCAAAACTTCGAATGTGTGAGATCACGGTATTCATGAGCCGCTGTAAGCGAGAGAGCGCAGGCGACAGCATCAAATGGAGGTGGTTGAAGGGACCGAGTTTAAGTAGTCCGTAAACGAAAAAAGTGCTCATCACCTGGTTTCTTCTATGCACAAGCAAATTGGTTCACCCACTCCGGGGTGCGTCCCCCTCTGCAAAAATTGAGATTACTGCAGTCAGCATGAACTATGGTTTAAAAAGGCCTTTCCCTATATTCGAGCGCTGCCTATTAACATTGTGCTATCTTTTCAGGTTGGACTTCAAGTTGTAGCTGTGAAAGCACCCGGCTTCGGAGACAACAGGAAGAACACGCTTAGGGATATGGCTATCGCTACTGGAGGAACTGTGTTCGGGGACGATTCAAACCTGGTTAAGCTTGAAGACATCCAACTCAGCGATTTCGGAGAGGTAATTCCCGATTTAGCTATTGATTTATTGGTTGACCAGATTGGTTCCCTGGCAACCGCCGAAACCTCCCTTCGCTGTGTATGCTTTACGTTTCTCCTCCTCTCTTTACACAAACAAACCGACACTTCAAGGTTGTGGTTTATATAATGAAGTGATGGTATAGATGGATCTATGACAATTTTTTTGTAGGTCGAAGAGGTAACAATCACTAAAGACGATACTCTCTTGTTACGCGGCAAAGGTGAAGCGGCTGAGATTGAGAAGAGAATCGAGCAAATCGCTGACGAAATTGAGCAGTCCACTAGCGACTACGAAAAGGTCAGTGCGGTTTTCCCGTGTGTAGACGCTCGAAAATTTTCGGAACTTTTAGGAAAAACTAAATGAGCGCCTTGCAAAGCTTTCCAAAGGTGTTGCTGTGCTGAAAGTTGGAGGGGCCTCGGAGGTAGAAGTTAGTGAGAAGAAAGATCGCGTCACTGATGCTCTTTGTGCCACCCGTGCTGCAGTTGAAGAAGGAATTGTACCTGGAGGAGGAGTCGCGCTTCTTCGAGCTCTCAAAGTTCTCGATGGATTCAAGGTGTGTTTTCCATCTTATCTCCTCGGCGACCTTAAAGTTCGAATTTGGTTGAATTTTTTTGTTACAGGCTCCCAACGAAAACCAGCAAATGGGTGTAAATATCATCAAGAAGGCAGTTCGTCAACCAATCAGCACGATTGTGAAAAACGCTGGCTTGGAACCGGCCTCCATAGTTGAAAAGGTGAGTAGATACATTTGATTGTTGACTAGTTTCTATACACTTCTTGCAGGTCCTATTAAATGACAACATTGGATACGGATACGATGCGCTTAATGACAAATTTGTTGACATGTTCGAAGCTGGTATTATTGATCCTACGAAGGTATGTTAGATGGATTTATATCTTCATGAAAATATTTGACGAGTCCATCCAAAGTAATGCTCTATTACCTGGTGGTCTTAATCTTGCGATATGTAATTTCTCAGAATTTGTTTCAAACATGTGTTTTGCTGTTACAATGTTCACTACGTTCAACCATTGAATTGCCTTTGTTAAGGTTGTGCGAACTGCGCTACAAGACGCTGCTGGTGTAGCCTCCTTACTTGCAACAACGGAATGTGTTGTCACTGAGCTACCCAAAGATGAGCCAATGCCAGGCATGGGTGGTGGTGGCATGGGCGGTATGGGAGGCATGGGTGGAATGGGTGGGGGAGGAATGTTCTAAACACCAGTCTCTAGGTGCTTTTCCAATTTGACAATGCTGATTCCACTTGTTATGTTATCCATTCTTGTGCTCAATTGTTGCACGTTGTAGATTAGTTGATCGTAGTTGTTATACTAGGCATAGTTGATTTTTGTTACTGTTCTATCAATTGTACGTTGTATTTGGAGTAACCTTTGCATCTCAGAATGTTGTTGATTTTCATGTTCAGTCATAGATTAAAGTAAATATTTGATCATTTTCTCCCAGTTTTGGCTGCTTCTATCATGCATTGAAACATACAAAATGGTTGCGATATTCATCTTCTTTCCTCGACGATGATATCAGTGCTATAACCAACAATACACAAGGCAATGACAAACATATTCGAAAATCAAATCTGATTCTGTAGAAGTCCTGCTTCTTCCACCTACGTACACGGCTATGGTTTGCCATGGAAGCCAATCAGAACGTCTGAGTGGTTTTGAGCAACATCTTCAGTTCATGGGCTTTGCCGAACAAAACTGGCCACATGGCCCTCGACTTCTTCTTCTTCTTATTCTTCAGCGTTTGTCCCGCTTGTTGGCGGGGTCCGCTTTTCTGATGTGCTGTCGCCACTTTTCCCGATTAAATGCTTGGTCGGGGTGGATGTTAAAACTTCAAGTCTGCGTGCAACGTATCGAGCCAGCGCTGTTTCGGGCGCCCCTTGGGCCGCTTTCCGTGCACGTCTATGTTGAGGCCGATCTTGCGAACACTGTCATCATTTCGCGAAGAACGTGGCCAAACCAACGAAGCCGAGCTTC